ATATAAGATATAGGGTCATTGTCTTAATTATATGGAACATGTCGGTCCATTATACATCGAACTTATAAACACAAATGCTGGATGAGAGCATGCGAAAAAAATAGTAACACTTTGATTTTTCTTAATCGATTGAAATCAAATATAGAATTGCTGTAAGACAACAACAACATTACAAAGAAATACCATCTTTGAAAGCAAGAAAGAAAATGACGTCGTACGTAACATAACACACCGAAAAAAGAATAGGTGAAACTGAAAACACATGTCCACACATAGACACAAAGAGCATTTAAGGAGAAGAAGGCCAGTGGTAGTTAGGGAGTAATGCGATATAATTAATCGGCTCTAATAGACTGGTAAGTGTTAGACGTCTGTATCCATATTAATAACTTCGACGTCTGCAGACCTTTCTACCAAAACCCCTTTGCTATAAATTCTACGTACACTCCCACTTCTTCTCTTCAAATTCATCAGAAACCCAATTCTAGTTAAAGACATACAAAAAAATGGTTATTCGTCTTCCATTGATCTGCCTTCTTGTTTCAGTCACGGCAATTGCGGCTGACTTATCACCGGAGCGTTACTGGAACACCGCCTTACCAAACACTCCCATGCCAAACTCTCTCCGCGATCTCTTTAGTACTCCAGGTTAAAATTTCATTTTACTTTACCTATTTTGTGTTCCCTCTTCCTCAAAAAACATATTTTCTAGACTTTTTTGTTGTTCTATAAAAATGGATTTTTAAACTTTAAAAATATTTTTATTAGTTGATATTAGGAAATTGTATTTTAAATACATAAATAAATTAAAAATATTTGAATTGATTAAATGTTACTGGTTAATAGTTAAAAATGCCTAGTATAGAATAAATAAAATATTTAATTATAAATACTTGTTATATTTTTAGTATACATGAAAACTCTAAAATCATCTTTCAGGAAGGTAGTATCTTTTTTTTGCCTGGTCTTTCACCAGTATTCCTGAATTTCTTTGGGATCTTCTTCTATTTTCTCTAGTTTTAACCATCTATACTATTAAAGCTGAAGTACAAAAATAAAGTGTTTGGAAACATGAATAAGAAAATTTTAAAATTTTGATTGGAAACATGGATATCATACAAATTTAATGGGCTTATTTATTATACTAAAGATTACTGCGGTCCAATGTACCATTATTTTTTTTTTGGATTTTCTATCATTGATATTACTTTACTTCTAAAAATTATTTATACATATATATATATTCATGTTTTAAATGTATTTAGAATAAATCAAGAATAATATATATTTTATTTATATAATTTATATTCACTATTCTTATAAGTTTTTAACAGTGATATGCTAGCGTTCCAATTCTTCATTAAAAAATTAAATTAAAAATTTGACTAAATTATTTAGTGTATATAACTTTACACCAAATTTAGTCAAAAAACTTTTTAAAATATTACTAAAATGTTTACGGGTCACAATATTTTAAGACGCCCCTGTTACACAATACAATAATGAAATACAATATTTAAATAATATACTATTACTTAGTAAAATTGGCACCATTAAATTGTAATTTTGAAATGTTATATATACCATAAAAACAAAGACCCGCCCAATCGGGCGGGTTATGATCTAGTTTTAATATTAAGACATATGTACAAAATGTATGATAGACCTAAATGCCAAGAAAAATGTATATGACTCGTACTTTATATTACCTGTTTATATATTGAAGATATGTGTCACAAGCTCTGTTGGCTACACATTTTTTTGATAATTAGTGAACCTCTACATTATTGGCAAATAAATGTTTTCTTACCAAATTATTTCGTTGTTCAGATTTCACCGATGAGAAGAGCACCAACGTCCAAGTAGGGAAAGGAGGAGTGAACGTCAACGCCGGAAAAGGTAAACCCGGCGGAGGAACCGCCGTAAACGTTGGAAAAGGAGGCGTCCACGTGGACACCGGCAAGGGTAAAGGAACACACGTGAGCGTCAGCGGCGGAAAAGGTCATGGAGGAGGCGTAGGCGTCCATACCGGTAAACCGGGAAAGAGAACCGACGTAGGAGTGGGTAAAGGCGGCGTTATAGTGCACACGCGCCACAAGGGCAAGCCGGTTTACGTGGGTGTGAAACCAGGACCAAACCCTTTTGTTTATAACTATGCAGCGAGCAAGACTCAGCTCCACGACGATCCCAAAGCAGCTCTCTTCTTCTTGGAGAAGGACTTGGTTCCGGGAAAAGAGATGAGCCTTAGGTTTAATGCGGAGGATGGTTACGACGGGAAAACGGCGTTCTTGCCACGTGGGGAGGCGGAGACGGTGCCGTTTGGGTTGGAGAAGTTTTCGGAGATCTTGAAGGCTTTCTCGGTGAAGCCCGGTTCGGGAGAAGCTGAGATGATGAAGAAAACTATTGAGGAGTGTGAAGCTAAAAGAGTTGGTGGAGAGGAGAAGTTTTGTGCTACGTCTTTGGAGTCTATGGTTGACTTTAGCGTCTCTAAACTTGGCAAAGATCATGTTCGTGCAGTTTCCACTGAGGTAAATAAACTAAAGAACCATAAAACCAATGTCTTGTTTCCAAAACAACAAAACTCTTATTCTTATATTTAATTTTATACAACATGGTTATTACCTCTATTTTTATTAAGGTATAACATTTCCGTTCCACAAATATATAAGTTTTGAAAAATGTGTTTTATAAAAAGAGAATTTTTGTGTGTGTTTTATAAATTTTCTTATTTAATAATGTAATCATAGTAAATTAAAAATGTTAATAAAACTAATAGAGTTTATTAGTTATTATTGAATGAACTATTGATAATCATAAAATGATGCATTTAATGAAACAATTTTTTTTAACATATGTGAACAATTGAAAAAGTTATCTTTGGAATTGATTGAGTATAACCAAACACATAAGCTGTTTATAAATTTGAGTCTGGTAGGTTTGTTATACTTAAATTAGCTAGCTGCGGTTTCTTCAGTTTAGGAATAATTAAAGACAAATTTTAGTTTGGTTGGTTTAGATTCATTTGGTTTATCCTTGGTTTCGACAGGTGGCCGAGAAGAATGCACCAATGCAGAAGTACAGAATCGCAGCGGCTGGAGTAAAGAAGTTATCAGACGACAAGTCAGTGGTGTGTCACAAACAGAAGTACCCATTCGCGGTGTTCTACTGCCACAAGGCGATGATGACGAGTGTTTACGCAGTTCCGCTCGAAGGAGAGAACGGGTTGCGAGCTAAGGCGGTTGCGGTATGCCACAAGAACACCTCAGCTTGGAACCCAAACTACTTGGCCTTCAAAGTCCTTAAAGTGAAGCCAGGGACCGTTCCGGTCTGCCATTTCCTCCCTGAGACCCATGTTGTTTGGTTCAGCTACTAGATATGTGTTATGTACTTTGTGTTGTTTAATAATGTTTGAGACAATCTATGTTTTTGGATGTTTTAGTTATGAGTATACTTAATATATACATATAGTAGTAATATGCGTAATTTCCATCTAATCAAAGACCGACGGTATCTATGTGTTTTAGTTTACTTTACCTAGTATTTTTATGGCCGACGTGCTTTCTTGTTGTTTTGCAAAACTATACAATAAAAGTGATCACATTGATGGTGGTATATATAGTGGTACTAATTAAATTTCGTTTGGAAATAGTAATTCATGTCTTAATATTAATTTATCAGCTATTAGTTGTAAACACCAGATGATACTATGAGTACAAGGATTAGAATTTGATTAGATATAAAATTAGCCTGTATATATTTCATACTTAATATACGTATATATATATATATATATATATATGCATGTCCGTCTTTAGTCATGTGCTACCAATGCTTATGCACGGGATCCAACATTTTTTCGTTAATTTTTCTTTGTGTTTAAGGGTCCTGTTTTTTTTTTAAATAGTAGAAAATGTTCAACTTTTTTATTTGTTTAATTTCAACCTTAAATTTGATCATAAAAATGAGCTTGCACAGGGTTCATATTTATTCTGAGACGACCTGCATATATGCGTATATAAAAGTAAAAAATAGAGTTGAAATGTTAAAATAACCCATTTTTAGACTCACCTGGTCAAATTCGTGCTTATGAGCTCGTCAACTTTATGTTGACAGAATTGTCCGATATATTTGATTTTTAGTTGAATTTTGAAATAAGATACACTAGTTGAATTAACTTTTATGTAGCTTCTGAGAAATTTGACACTAAATCGCGTATCATTTAATTCTCACCATTTCTTAATTGGAAACAAAATATTTGCCAGCTTAATATTGATTTATTTATCTATTCAACAAACAAAAATCTTGAATCTGTGATAGGAAAATAAGGAGGTTAAACAGAAATCTTGAATGTGTAATAGGAAAATAAGGAGGTTAAAACAAAATCTTGAATGTATACCATAAAAAGCTAAAAAACAAAACTAAAATTCAAACTTAAGTTTGACCGCACCAAACGATATCAACGCAGAAAAAGACGAGTCAAGGGTAGAATAGACAATTCGCTGAAATAAAGAGAAACTAGTTCCTAATCGTATAGGGGCAGATTAGTCAATTCTCAAGACTAATGCGAGTAAGTGTATTAAACACGATTAGTAGTAAGTTATTTGAACAGAAACATGCAGCAAGCAGAGAAGCGAATAGGAGGAGAAAAAAAAAGCTTACCACGACGGTCACACTCTCCCTCCCTCCTCTGGGAACTGCGAATATTACCATAAATAGCAAAACCGGAGATTATCGTTTGAAATCGTAGGTTTAAGTATACGGTGGCTACTGTAGAGACTTAGAGAGAGAACACGAACGAACGAAGCAGAGAGAAACTCGTAAAATTAGGGTTTGTTCGGTTTCGTCTAGTAATACATTGCCGTTACTCACTGTTCCTTGCGGCTCATCGTATGCTTAGTTGATGATTGAAATGTCGTTTAGAGGGTTTTGTCTTGCGTTTCGTTTGTTTGTGTTCTGCCTCGTCGTTTTTTTGTTTTGTTTTTTTTTCTGAGATTGTATAAATGGAGAAGAAGTCAGATGGCCTACCATTTAAGTGGGGTAAAAAGAGAGGACCTGGTGGTGTAGAAAATAAGGATGTTCAGTACTATGAGTCTTTTACTTACGGTGGTTGTGAGTACTGTCTTTATGACTGTGTCTCTGTTGGAGATGATAGTCAAGTACACTCTTTTGTTGGCAAGATTATAAAAATGTGGGAGTATGTTGATCAGCGTCAAGACCCGAGGAGAGTTGAGTTACTCTGGTTCTTTAAACCCTCTGAGCTTTCCTTGTACTTTGAAGGAGTTGAAGATGTGCTTGCTAACGAACTGTTCTTGGCTTCTGGGTCAGGTCTTGGCCTCACCAATGAAAACCTATTGGTAACTAAGTTTCTTGCAGACTCATAGACTAGCTGTAGTTTCTTGCTGACTCATAGACTTCCTGAGACATTTTCGTATCTTTACTGTCATTGGTTTAGAATGGCATTGATGTAACATTATTAAAACAGGAAGCAATTTCTGGAAAATGTCATGTTCTATGCATCTCCAAGGACGTAAGAAATCCACAACCCTCAGAGGAAGAAATCAAGTCGGCTGACTTCCTTTTTCACCGAACATATGATGTGGGAACTTCCAGAATCTTAGATAAGATAGATGATAATGTTGCTGGAGTTGATGGTACATAGTGTAATCTTTCACTTAACCCCTTTCTTATTCATTTAGCTATGTGGTTGGTAGCTATTTTGACTCTTTTTATTTCCTCATATCACTTCACTCTTCTTGCTGCAGTTGAGTTCATCTTTAACAGAACCAGTTCTGAGACAAAAGCTAGTGCTCTGCAAAAAGTGGCAACTGACATACAAGGGACTGTAGATAGTTTGAAACCATATCATTCTTCAACTAGCGGTTCAGTTATGCAGAATAAAGGCAATGCTAGTGATGTCTCTGGTCACTGGAAGAGCGATAATGGTTACAAGAAAGAACAAGACAATGAATGTCATAAACAATTGGCTAGTAAAAAATCTACACTTGCAGAAGAAAGTTCTAACAAAGATTCTGGTCGGGATGATGCTGAACTTGACAGTTTTAGCGCTTCGGGTTCTAGGAGATATGATGAAGGTGGAAACCAATTTGCTAAACAAAAACCAAGGCTTGCTGATGAAAGATGCAGTAAAGATTCTTACCGTTTGGATGACATGATTCAAAAGAAACGGAGAGTAGATGGTTCTCTTGCAGTACCAGATGGAAGGTATAAAGTGCCGCAGAAAATAAGAAATGATGGTAGAAAAAATACAGAACCTATTAGAAGAGATGCGATGGTAAGTAAATCAAGGCTTGCAGATGAAAGAGGCAGTAATGATTTTTACGGTTTGGATGTCATGCCTCTAAAGAAACCGAGGGTAGAGGGCTCTGTTGCAGTGTCAGAGGGAAGGACAAGAGAGTCGCAGTGTACAAGTCATGATGGTAAAAAAGATGTGATGGTAGAAAAATCAAGGGTTGCAAGGGAAAGATACAACAAAGATTGCATTCTTCAAAAGAAACTGGAGCTGAATGGCTCTGCTGTAGTATCAGATGGGAGGTCAAAAATGTCAAAGAAATTAAGTCATCATGATGGAAGAAAAGATCCTAGAGACAAAGTCACCAGAGAGGAAGTATATTTCCAGAAGCCTAGCTTCACTGACAAGAGTCAAGACCTGCGGATACCAAGATGTTCTGAAGGAAAAGTTACTAAACATGTTAGATTCGCTGAAGGAAAAGAGACCAGACATGTGAGATTTTCTGAAGGAAAAGAGAGTAAGCTTGCAACTGAGAAAGGTCTTATCAAGAACTCCAACCCTGATTGTAAAATATCAAAACACAGTGAGGAAAAGATGTTGACCAATGCCGATTACAGAAGACATTATCAAGTCTCTGAAGTTACTCAAAAGCCTAATGTTGTAAGTTTTATATTCCTTATGAAACAAAATTTGTATGTGAACCATGCCATATAGTTTGAATGACTTTGGTCTAAAATTGGCTGCTTGCAAAATTTCACTCAGATTATGTTAATTTTCCTTAGATAAAGTAACGGTGTGGTCGTGCAGCACTCAAACTCCAACGATAGATGTTCTTAACAGTTTTTTTTTTTTGGTTTCCTTTTTCTTGATCACAGGAAGGAATCAAATGGTTTCGAAAACTTGTAAGTAGTTCTTCCTTCTTTTACCACTCCAATTTGCTTTACCTTCGTTATTGTGCTCGACATGCTTTATCTATAACGTGACTAGCGTGACCTGTTTATCTGTTCTAGTGATGTGAGGAATCGCCATCTGGATTTTAAAACTGCACTGACTTTAAACTGTTTAAATCATAACCAGAGTTGGGAAGAAGATTTGAGGTGTGCAGAAGGGAAAGGGACTCTGGTTGTTCTCCGAAACTTGGATCCTTCTTACACATCTAATGAAGTGGAGGTATTAATCCAATGGAGTTTTTATGTTCTACGATTGTTTTTATGGACACGGCAAGCCATCACTACTCAAGCTGTGCAGTGCATTATATTGTTGGTGACACCTTTCATGATCTAACAAACTTATGACTTATGCTTCAGAATATAGTCTACTCTGCTTTGAATGAGCAATGCACGTCCAGGATGATAGAGCGGACGTCAGCTACTATTCCTCATATCGGTAAGTCCATCACTATACTGGCATCACAAGGGATAAGGTGCCATTCTCTTATAACCGGAATAAATTGACAATCATAGTTCTCAGCCCTTTTGACTTTCCTCATCATTATCCAGGTGAAGCTTTGGTGATATTCGAGACAATGGATGTTGCAAACAGGGTAATTAGAAGACTACATGATGGATGCTTGTTGCTATCAAATGGAAGGTAAGGCGTCACATCTGGTATTGTATCATCTGTCATATTCATTCATCTGATTGAATTAGTTGATAGCTCACATATCTCTTAAGAAGATTAAAGCTTAGTTACTTGTATGATCTTTCTTATAAATAATGTTTTTTTTTTCTTTCCCTACTGGCACAGGGTACTTATTGCTACTAGTGCTAAGGTAAATCCTCCAGCTATGCCTTCATTGCCGTTTCCTGGCCATATCAATACCCAGCGTCGAGGGAAGGTAGATTTTCATACTCCTCTCCGTAAAACACTTACAAAGTAAACAGGCACCACTCGTTAAGTAACGTTCCTGTGTTTGTCTTTATATATTTGCCAGAGAAGCGCTGCGGTTACATCACATTGTTCTCAGGGTAACAACGTTGAATTTGACATGTGCATGGAATGGTGGTTGCACTTAGGCATATACAAGCAGATTTGGGAAACGATATATGAGGTGAACATCTATCACCACTGTCTCCTTACTCTTCTACTGTGAAAGAAACCAAAATCTTATAAAGGTTTATCTTCTAGTTAAGCTTGTTTAGAGCTACTAATAAGATCTATCAAGAAAAGTTAGGATACTAAATGTACTTCCCTCGTTGGTTTTGATGTGTCTTCAATCTTCTATTATATTGTGTTATATGTTTCGTAGCAAGTCAGTGCACTTTCTTTGACATCTTTTAACGCTAATATTTTAACTGTTACTATAGCGACAAGTTGAGGAGAAGAAGAAGTTGCAGTTGGATGTGGAGCCAAAACAAGCTTAGTTTCAGCATCATCTTGTCGTGTTTTAGTGTAAGTAAAAAGCCCATTGGAGAAGCTTTGTCTAACATCTAATGGGAACCATCTGTGAAGAGTTTATCTTGTTTTGTTGAAGCACCTGAGAAGAAGTAGAACACAGAGATTTTGGTAGTTTTAGTTGGTGTAATGGCATATACTAAAAGCATGATGGCTGCCGCGTTCATCTAACCCCAACCAACTTTGAACGGTAAAATTCATTTCAGGAAATCAAATCTTGTTTCTTGTCATTCATTAATTTCTTTTTGTCAGTAAAGTTGGATTTTATTTTAATTGTAAACCAAACACTTAGCTTCGTTGTAGATATTAGACCTGGACAAAAAAAACCAGAACCAAACTGAAATATCCAAAATCAGAACTGGACTGAAACTCTCAATACAGATTTTTATATTTCTGTATTCGAAATAATCCGAATATATAAAAATATTAATTATATAGGATATAACTTAATATATATATATTTATTTATAATTTAAAAGTTTATAAGAAGTATTCGAACTATTCAAAAGTAAGAAGATATGTAAATAGCCAAAGTAATTCTAAATATTTGAATAAATGAAAACCAAATTGTTTTGGGTATTTTCCGGTTCTTAAATTTATTATCTGAATTGAACGGAACCTGAAACTACATGAACTCTGAACTGAAAATATGTCAAATAGTAAATGGATCTTTTAAATCTTTATCCAAATTATCCGATAACCAAAATATCCGAACCAAACCGAACTGAGATCCGAAATGCCCAGGTAGATATCATCAAATGCTAAAAGAAGAGGAGGATGTAGTGGTGGAAGAAAACAAAAGCTGCTGTGACCGTGGTGCTAATGCAGAAACCGTGGAGAAAACAAAAGCTGCTGTGAGTCATCTACACACAAGATACATCGTTGACATGCAGTCCATGGTCTCAACAGTCCCAGAAGTAAACCGTTTAAGGGATGATCAATTGTATCCAAGACTTGTCTCCTTAGTCGAAGGGTAAGAAGCTCTCTCTCCCTTTTCTCTAATTAAGCATTCTCTAAACCAATATTCTCTCAACTTATAGGATGGCGAAGATGTGGACAAACATGTGCATACAACACGACACACAACTCCAGATTGTCGGAGAGCTAAAATCACTCGAAATTTCAACATCTCAAAAAGAAACCACAAAGCAGCATCACCAACAGACACGACCGTTCTGCACCGTCTTGGAAGAATGGCATGTTCAGTTCGAAAGGCTCGTGACACACCAGAAGCAGTACATCAACTCTCTAAACACCTGGTGAAGAAAGGTGAAGATGAAGAAGAAGCTTATGAGAGACATTGTGTTCAGGTGAAGGAGAAGTCTTTGAATAGTTTGAAGATCAGGTTGCCTGAGATCTTCAGGGCGTTGTCTGATTATGCTCACGCTTGTGCTGACTCTTACGAGAAGCTCGGAGTCATATCACAGACTCAGAAAGGCAATGTATCTTCCTGAACCAGTTTTAGTCTCATTCTCTCACTCTCTGCTTTTGTATGAAAGAACTTGGGTTTGAATAGTTGTTTTGTCTGTCTCTTAATGTTTAATAACTAGACACAAAGTTGTCAGACTAACAAGATTTTTGTTTGGATAAAGTTCAAAAAAAATTGGAAGAAAATATTGTCAGAAGTGGTATTTGAACCCACGCCCTCTCACGAGGACCAGAACTTGAGTCTGGCGCCTTAGACCACTCGGCCACCCTGACTTGAGGAGGCGTAGGCGTCCATACCGGTAAACCGGGAAAGAGAACCGACGTAGGGGTGGGTAAAGGCGGGGTTATAGTGCACACGCGCCACAAGGGCAAGCCGGTTTACGTGGGTGTGAAGCCAGGACCAAACCCTTTTGTGTATAACTATGCAGCGAGCAAGACTCAGCTCCACGACGATCCCAAAGCGGCTCTCTTCTTCTTGGAGAAGGACATGGTTCCCGGAAAAGAGATGAACCTTAGGTTTAATGCTGAGGATGGCTACGACGGGAAAACGGCGTTCTTGCCACGTGGGGAGGCGGAGACGGTGCCGTTTGGGTCGGAGAAGTTTAAGGAGATCTTGAAGACTTTCTCGGTGAAGCCAGGTTCGGGAGAAGCTGAGATGATGAAGAAAACTATTGAGGAGTGTGAAGCTAAAAGAGTTGGTGGAGAGGAGAAGTTTTGTGCTACGTCGTTGGAGTCTATGGTTGACTTTAGCGTCTCTAAACTTGGCAAAGATCATGTTCGTGCAGTTTCCACTGAGGTAAATAAACTAAAGAACCATAAAACCAATCTCTTGTTTCCAAAAAACAAAACTCTTATTCTTATATTTAATTTTGTACAGCATGGTTATTACGTCTATTTTTATTAAGGTATAACATTTCCGTTCAACAAATATATAAGTTTTGGAAAATGTGTTTTATAAAAAGAGAATTTTTGTGTGTTTGTAAATTTTCTTACTCTCTCCATTTCATTTTAGTTGTCATTTTAAGTTTGGACACAAAGATTAAGAAATCATTTAATTTTGCATATTTTCAAAATAAAAATACAGTTACTTATACATCTAATCCCAATGAAAAATAAAAAAGTAGATAAAACTAATAAATTATGCATTGGAATTATAAAACGACACTTTTGACACATTTTAACAAATAAATTGGAACAGAGTAATAATAGTAAATTAAAAATGTTAATAAAACTAATAGAGTTTACTAGTTATTATTGAATGAACTATTGAATCTTGATAATCATAAAATGATGCATTTAATGAAACAAATCTATTTTAACATATGTGAACAATTGAAAAGTTATCTTTGGAATTGATTGAGTATAACCAAACACATAAGTTGTTTATAAATTTGAGTTTGGTAGGTTTGTTATACTTAATTTGCTAGCTTCGGTTTCTTCAGTTTAGGAATAATCAAAGACAAATTTTAGTTTGGTTGGTTAAGATTCATTTGGTTTAACCTTGGTTTCCACAGGTGGCCGAGAAGAATGCACCAATGCAGAAGTACAGAATCGCAGCGGCTGGAGTAAAGAAGTTATCAGACGACAAGTCAGTGGTGTGTCACAAACAGAAGTACCCATTCGCGGTGTTCTACTGCCACAAGGCGATGATGACGAGTGTTTACGCAGTTCCGCTCGAAGGAGAGAACGGGTTGCGAGCTAAGGCGGTTGCAGTATGCCACAAGAACACCTCAGCTTGGAACCCAAACCACTTAGCCTTCAAAGTCCTTAAAGTGAAGCCAGGGACCGTTCCGGTCTGCCATTTCCTCCCTGAGACCCATGTTGTTTGGTTCAGCTACTAGATATGTGTTATGTACTTTGTGTTGTTTAATAATGTTTGAGACAAAGACAATCTATGTTCTTGGATGTTTTAGTTATGAGTATACTTAATATATACATATAGTAGTAATATGCGTGATTTCCATCTAATCAAAGACCGACGGTATCTATGTGTTTTAGTTTACTTTACCTAGTCTTTTTTATGGCCGACGTGCTTTCTTGTTGTTTTGGAAAATTATACAATAAAAGTGATCACATAGATGGTGGTTTTTAGTTGAAAGAATTGTCTGATATATTTGATTTTTAGTTGAATTTTGAAATAAGATACACTAGTTGAATTCACTTTTATGTAGCTTCTGAGAAATTTGAAAATAAATCGCGTATCATTTAATTGTCACCATTTCTTTATTGGAAACAAAATATTTGCCAGCTTAATATTTTTTCTTATTTATCTATTCAACAAACAAAAATCTTCAATGTATAATAGGAAAATTAAGGAGGTTAAAACAAAATCTTGAATACATACCATAAAAAGCTAAAAAACAAAACTAAAATTCAAACTTAAGTTTGACCGCACCAAACGATATCAACGCAGAAAAAGACGAAACAAGGGTAGAGTAGACAATTCGCAGAAATAAAAGAGAAACTAGTTCCTCCTAATCAAATAGGGGCAGATTAGTCAATTCTTAAGACTAATGAGATTTGTGTATTAAACACGATTAGTAGTAAGTTATTTGAACAGAAACATGCAGCAAACAGAGAAGCGAATAGGAGGAGAGAAAAAAAAAGCCTACCACGACGGTCACACTCTCCTTCTTCCTCTAGGAACTGCGAATATTACCATAAATAGCAAAACCGGAGATTATCGTTTGAAATTGGAGGTTTCAGAACAAGTGTGGCTAACTGTAGAGCGAGCGAGAGAGATAGAGAGAACACGAAGGAACGAAGCAGAGAGAAAGTGAGTGTGGTTGAGATTAAACTCGTAAAAATTAGGGTTTCTTTCAGTTTCGTCTAGTAATACATTGCCGTTACTCACTGTTCCTTGCGTGCGGCTCATCGTATGCTTAGTTGATGATTGAAATGTCGTTTAGAGGGTTTTGTCTTGCGTTTCGTTTGTTTGTGTTCTGCCTCGGCTTTTGCGTCGTTTTTTGTTTTTTTTTTCTGAGATTGTATTATTGTTACTGTTCATCATAGATTAAATAAATTAAGTTAACAAGTGATTAACTTCACTGGTGAATCTCAATTTTAGTATCTTTTAGCTCTACGCTTTATGTGATTTTATGACTGTGGTCCTTTTTTTATCTTTTGTTCACTGTGGGCTCCTTTTTTGTTATTTGTTGTGTGTTGTAATAGGAGAAGCCTCTGTTTCATTGAATAAATGGAGAAGAAATCAGATGGCCTACCATTTAAGTGGGGTAAAAAGAGAGGACCTGGTGGTGTAGAAAACAAGGATGTTCAGTACTATGAGTCTTTTACTTACGGTGGTTGTGAGTACTGTCTTTATGACTGTGTCTCTGTTGGAGATGATAGTAAAGTAGACTCCTTTGTTGGCAAGATTATAAAAATGTGGGAGTATATTGATCAGCGTCAAGACTCGAGGAGAGTGGAGTTACTCTGGTTCTTTAAACCCTCTGAGCTTTCCTTGTACCTTGAAGGAGTTGAAGATGTGCTTGCTAACGAACTTTTCTTGGCTTCTGGGTCTGGTCTTGGCCTCACCAATGAAAACCTATTGGTAACTAAGTTTTTATCCTTTTTTTTTTATACTATGGCATCCAGTTTCTTGCAGACTCATAGACTTCCTGAGACATTTTCGTCTCTTTACTGTCATTGGTTTAGAATGTTATTGATGTAACATTATTAAAACAGGAAGCAATTGCTGGAAAATGTCTTGTTCTATGCATCTCCAAGGACGTAAGAAATCCACAACCCTCTGAGGAAGAAATCAAGTCGGCTGACTTCCTTTTTCACCGAACATATGATGTGGGAACTTCCAGAATCTTAGATAAGATGGATGATAATATTGCTGGAGTTGATGGTACATGGTGTAATCTTTCACTTATCTCCTTTCATATTCATTCAGCTATGTAGTTGGTAGCTATTCTGACTCTTTTATTTCCTCATATCATTTCACTCTTATTGCTGCAGTTAAGTTCATCTTTAACAGAACCAGTTCTGAGAGAAAAGCTAGTGATGTGAAAAAGATGGCAACCGATATACAAGGGACTGCAGATGGTTTGAAACCAAATCGTCCTTCAACTAGCGGTTCAGTTATGCAGAATAAAGGCAATACTAGTGATGTCTCTGGTCACTGGAAGAGCGATTATGTTTACAAGAAAGAACAAGATAATGAATGTCATAAACATTTGGCTAGTAAAAAGTCTACACTTGCAGAAGAAAGTTCTAACAAGGATTCTGGTCGGCTTGATAATGAACTTGACAGTTTTAGCGCTTTGGATTCTAGGAGAAATGATTGTCATGGAAGGAAAAACCAAGACGGTGTACTTGGAAAGCAATTTGCTAAACAAAAACCAAGTCTTGCTGATGAAAGATGCAGTAAAGATTCTTACTGTTTGGATGACATGATTCAGAAGAAACGGAGAGTAGATGGTTCTCTTGCAGTAACAGATGGAAGGTATAAAGTGCCGCAGAAAATAAGAGATGATGGTAGAAAAAATACAGAACCTATCAAAAGAGATGCGATGGTAAGTAAATCAAGGCTTGCAGATGAAAGACGGAGTAATGATTTTTACGGTTTGGATGTCATGCCTCTAAAGAAACCGAGGCTAGAGGGCTCTGTTGCAGTATCAGATGGAAGGACAAGAGAGTCGCAGTGTACAAGTCATGATGGTAAAAAAGACGTACAAGGTATGAGAAAAGATGTGATGGTAGAAAAATCAAGGGTTGCAAGGGAAAGATGCAGCAAAGATTACATGCCTCAAAAGAAACTGGAGCTGAATGGCTCTGCTGTAGTATCTGATGGGAGGTCAAAAATGTCACAGAAATTAAGTCATCAAAGAAAAGATCCTAGAGACAAAGTCACCAGAGAGGAAGTATATTCCCAGAAGTCTAGCTTCACTGACAAGAATCAAGATCTGCGGATACCAAGATGTTCTGAAGGAAAAGTTACTAAACATGTTAGATTTGCTGAAGGAACGGAGACCAGACATGTGAGATTTTCTGAAGGAAAAGAGAGTAAGCTTGCAACTGAGAAAGGTCTTATCAAGAACTCCAACCCTGATTGTAAAATATCAAAACACAGTGAGGAAAAGATGTTGACGAATGCCGATTACAGAAGACATTATCAAGTCTCTGAAGTTACTCAAAAGCCTAATGTTGTAAGTTTTATATTCCTTACGAAACCAATTTTTTATGTGAACCATGCCATATAGTTTGAATGACTTTGGTTGGCTGCGTGCAAAATTTCACTCAGATTATGTTAATTTTCCTTAGATAAAGTAACGGTGTGGTCGTGCAGCACTTAAACTCCAACGATAGATGTTCTTAACAGTTTTTTTTTTTTTTGGTTTCCTTTTTCTTGATCACAGGAAGGAATCAAATGGTTTCGAAAACTTGTAAGTAGTTCTTCCTTCTTTTACCACTCCAGTTTGCTTTACCTTCGTTATTGTGCTCGACATGCTTTATCTATAACGTGATTAGCGTGACCTGTTTATCTGTTCTAGTGATGTGAGGAATCGTCATTTGGATTTTACATCTGCACTGACTTAAAACTGTTTAAATCATAACCAGAGTTGGGAAGAAGATTTGAGGTGTGCAGAAGGGAAAGGGACTTTGCTTGTTCTCCGAAACTTGGATCCTTCTTATACATCTAATGAAGTGGAGGTATTATCCAATGAGTGGAGTTTTTTTCTTTTTCTTATGTTCTACAATAACTGATGTAGTCATCACCACTCAAGCTGTGCAGTGCATCATTTTGCTGGTGCACCTTTCATGTAAACCTGTATCTAACAAACTTATGAATTATGCTTCAGAATATAGTCTACTCTGCTTTGAATGAGCAATGTACGGCCAGGATGATTGAGCGGACCTCAGCTACTATTCCTCATATCGGTAAGTCCACCATTACACAGGCATCACAGGGTTAAATTGACAACCATAGTTCTATGCCCTTTTGATATTCCTACCCTGTATCTACCACTGGTATAAAGACCCATACCATGGTCTCATGTGTTTTCCATTATCCAGGGGAAGCGTTGGTGATATTCGAGACAATGGATGCTGCAAACAGGGTAATTAGAAGACTACATGAGGAATGCTTGTTGCTATCAAATGGAAGGTAAGGCTTCATCACATGTTATACTGTATCGTCTATCATATTCATTCATCCGATTGAATTAGTTGATAGCTCATATATCTTTTCTGGGCGATTAAAGCTAAGTTACTTGTATGCACTTTATAAATAACTTAACTTTTTTTGCTTTCCCTACTGGACAGGGTACTTGTCGCTACTAGTGCTAAGGTGAATCCTCAAACTATGCCTTCATTGCCGTTTCCTGGCCATATCAGTATCCAGCGTCGAGGGAAGGTAGATTTTCATACTCCTCTCCGTAAAACACTTACAAGTAAACAGGCACCACTCTTTAAGTAACGTTCCTGTGTTTGTCTTTTTATATTTGCCAGAGAAGCGCTGCGGTTACATCACATTGTTCTCAGGGTAACAACATTGAATTTGACATGTGCATGGAATGGTGGTTGCACTTAAGCATATACAAGCAGATTTGGAAAACGATATATGAGGTGAACATCTATCACCACTGTCTCTTTACTCTTCTACTGTGAAAGAAACAAAAATCTTATAAAGGTTTCTAGTTAATTTAAGTTAAGTTTGTTTAGAGCTACTGATAAGATCTATCAAGAAAAGTTAGGATACTAAATGTACTTCCCTCTTTGGTTTTGATGTGTCTTCAATCTTCTATTATATTGTGTTATATGTTTCGTAGCAAGTCAATGCACTTTCTTTGACGTCTTTTAACGCTAATATTTTAACTGTTACTATAGCGACAAGTTGAGGAGAAGAAGAAGTTGCAGTTGGATGTGGAGCCAAAACAAGCTTAGTTTCAGCATCATGTTGTCGTGTTTTAGTGTAAGTAAAAGAGCCCCTTGGAGAAGCTTTGTCTAACATCTAGTGAGAACCATCTGTGAAGAGTTTTTATCTTCTTTGTGTTGAAGCACCTGAGAAGTAGAACACAGAGAAGAACAATCACGAGATTTTGGTAGTTTTAATTGGTGTAAATGGCATACTAAAAGCATGATGGCTTGCCGCGTTCATCTAACCCCAACCAACTTTGAACGGTAAAACTCATTTCAGGAAATCAAATCTTGTTTCTTGTCATTCATTAATTTTTTTTTGTTAGTAAAGTTGGATTTTAATTGTAAACCATACACTTAGCTCCTTTGTAGATATTAGGCCTGGCAAAAAAAACCGAAATATCCGAAATCTGGACCGAAACTCTGAATATAGATTTCTATATTTCTGTATTCGAAATAATCGAACGGATATCCGAATATATAAAAATATTAATTCTATATATAGAATATAACTTAATATATATATTATAATTTAAAAGTTTATAAAAGGTATTCGAACTATTCGAAAGTATGAAGATATGTTTATCCCAAATATCCAAAGTAATTCTAAAAATTTTAGATTTTTATCCAAATTATTTTAGTTATTCGCTATATTACCCAAAATATTTGATATTTAATACTAACTACCTGAACTAAACAAACCAGAACTGGAATAAATGAAAACCAAATTGTTTTCGGTATTTTCCGGTTCTTAAATTTATTATATGAACCGAACGGAACCTGAAACTACCTGAACCGAACTGTAAATATGTCAAATAGTAAATAGAACTTTTAAATCCCTATCCAGATTATCCGATAACCAAAATATCCGAATCAAACCGAACTGAGATCCAAAATGCCCAGGTAGATATCATCAAATGCTAAAAGAAGAGGAGGAGGAGGTAGTGGTGGAAGAAAACAAAAGCTGCTGTGACCGTGGTGCTAATGCAGAAACCGTGGAGAAAACAAAAGCTGCTGTGAGTCATCTACACACAAGATACATCGTTGACATGCAGTCCATGGACTCAACAGTTTCTGAAATAAACCGTTTAAGGGATGATCAATTGTATCCAAGACTTGTCTCCTTAGTCGAAGGGCAAGCTCTCTCTCCTTTTTCTCTAAATAAGCATTCTCTAACCAATATTCTCTCAACTTGTAGGATGGCGACAATATGGACAAACATGTGCATACAACACGACACACAACTCCAGATCGTCGGAGAGCTAAAATCACTTGAAATCTCAACTTCTCAAAATGAAACCACAAAGCAGCATCACCAACAGACACGTAAGTTCTGCACCGTCTTGGAAGAATGGCATGTTCAGTTAGAAAGGCTCGTGACACACCAGAAGCAGTACATTAACTCTCTAAACACTTGGCTAAAGCTAAACCTCATCCCCATCGAAAGCAGTCTCAAAGAGAAAGTTTCCTCTCCTCCAAAAGATCTCAACGTCCACCAATCCAAGCCCTTCTCCACTCATGGCACAACCGTCTTGAGAAACTCCCTGACGAGGTCGCCAAATCAGCCATCTCCTCCTTTGCGGCCAGTCATGAATACGATCTTGCTTCATCAGGAGGAAGAGATGAAGCTCAAGGAGAAGTGTGAAGAGACGAGGAGAGAGTTTATTAGGAAGAAGCAAGGGTTTGTGGAGTGGTATTATAAACATTTGCAGAAGAGAGGACCAACGGAGGAAGGTGTGGATGGAGAAGAGAGGGTAAGCAGTAGAGATGATGATCATGTCACAGAGAGGAGAATCGTTGTGGCACAAAGTTGCTGTCTCTTAATGTTTAATAATTAGGCACAAAGTTGTCAGACTAACAGGATTTTTGTTTGGATAAGGTCCAAAAAATTGGGAGAAAAAATAATGTCAGAAGTGGTATTTGAACCCACGCCCTCTCACGAGGACCAGAACTTGAGTCTGGCGCCTTAGACCACTCGGCCACCCTGACTTTAGTGACGACTGTGATCTTAGTAACTTGGAGTTTTGTTAAATTGGTACAATGGATTGGAAACTGGTTTAGAGTGAACCGGCGAGTGTTAAATATTAATGGCTTTCCATATTCTCTGTATATCCCGACACATATCCGAAGACTCAGCCATTTATTAGAAGACACGTCACCACACCGGAGAAAATATCTACAAAATTTAAAAATAACCAAATCAAGAATAAAGATAATCACGTTGCCAAACAGTCCCACACCCTGATGCGACCTTCAAGTAAACGCTCCTTCTCTACAATATAAAAGTCCATTATTGATCGCTTCCCCC